ATAAAATTGTTCAACGTTCATGTGACCTGATCTTTTTCTCATCTTCATATATAAAAACTACAATGTAAGCGCTCCCAGGTGCGAATACTCTGCAAATTTAGAGGAACGTTAAGGCCGTGTATGCAAAAATTCTTTCTACTCCCTTGGACAAGATGCCTGTAACTCTGTCGTATAACGGCCTTAGCAAGTCACTGACATCCTGGTCATCCGAACACATTGATACATCTAGATTTTCTCGATGATCGCCACTCTCGAGTTCCGCATCAGGCTGTGTTGCCTATCAAAGAACATTGTTCTCCTACGCAACTAGACATAGCGAAGCCGCCCACTCAACCCGATCTCTGGTATAAGTGCTACCCCCCTTCTTACCCACTCTCACAGTGCTCTTATTAATATAGATGGGCCAGACCCCCGAGCCAAGAAAAAATGCATGACAAAACACGTTAAAGATCAACTCTACACATTCCCAACCGACTGTAATAATGGGTACATCCAGCGCCCAACAGATATTTAGAAATTCTGTTCAACTGATCACGGTCAACCCACGCATGCTTCGAAACTTACAGAAATCGCAAAAGCTTCATCCCTCTCCCGCATTGCTTCACTACACTGCCCACAAGTTTTATAGCAAGTCTAGCAACCCAGAGAACCTTTGTTGTTTTTTAAACTGTACTTTCATGTACGGTTAACCAGGTATCAGGAACCTACTGAATCGATCACCACCATCACACGGTCTCGTCTTCCCAGCCACCAATATTATTCGATTCAGCCCTAACCATCATCTTGCACACCGCCCATCTTTACCTTCCCTCCCCTTTCGCCGCTACTGCTGGATTTCTTTCTTCAGGACCGCTTTGCTGTGCTAAGACGCCCAGGATTAAACGGTGTGATTCGTGCCACAAATCTGATACAGTACTCGCCCGTTTGAAATCGAATAATTCACGCGAATAACGCGAATCCTCGTTAATTTCGTGAATTCGTTATAAGTCGGCTCAGAGTGAAGTATTCCAGAAAACGAAAACACCGTTCAACTCAGCTCTTCAAGCGCTACAAGATTCTTGCTAGTTATCTTCCGCAGAAAGCTTGATTTCGGAATGCGCCATGCACACGATTTCATCAAAAAGTAGTTGCTCGCATGTGATGTGTATATAATCCCGCTTATGCGGGCTAACCGCCTACACACAAAGAAGGGCCTCAAAACTTACCCCAGAATGCGCCACGTACTCAATCTCATCCACTACATTGTGAGATTAGATGAATGTTATTTTCCGAATTCTTAGATCTTCATTTCGTTTTCAAGCGCTTACTAGCTTTACGTGTTCCCTCTGCTCTCAATATCCCATCCTCTGTATATCAAGTGGAATCTTTGAACAGTTCTCAGCAGGCATAGTGGGCCTATTATGTGACATTTTCCATTTTCAGAGGACATGTTTTGCAGAAAGCTGTGAAGATAGCGAACAATTTCCTTCACTGTCGTAGACTACGGTCACTTGTCTGTAGGAATTATGTGGAAAACTCGGTCGCAAGTAAGCGTTCCTTCCGTGGTGTGGCCCCAAACATGCCTCCTCGTCATGCCCTTGTGGAATGTTCAGATTTTTTGCATTTCCAGATGAACTCGCAGACCTGAAATGTGCCCCGTTAGCTTTCCCGTGAAAAATGCTATCGAATGATATGCATTACTTCCCCAGTTGAAACTTTGGTTTTTCACCGTTTTCAGCCTTCCCCTATTGCCGGATCACTATCTGCCCGATTACTGCCCCCAATCTCAAAGTTTCATTTTTCGTCGAAACTTTGTCTATTGGGGTAATTCGATGCCCTGATTACGAATATGACATTCATTTTTGATGCTGGTGTCATTTGGCGCCATTTGGCGCCGTTTGGCGCCAATTTGGCGCCACGGCTGTTTTCACCAAATCTGCTGAAACTTCGTCATTTGGGGTTATTTGGGGTCCTGATTACGAAAACGACACCCGTTTTAGCGCTGGCGCCATTTGGCGCCGTTTGGCGCCAATTTGGCGCCACAGCTGTTTTCACCAAATTTGCTGAAACTTCGTCATTTGGGTACGCTATAGCGGTCCTGCGCTATACGAAGTTATTCGACGATGTGGTGTCACAAACAACACTTCACAGTCAGAGCGTACTCTTAGGCACCTTTCTCAGAGCGCCGACTGTCAGACCGTGGAAAAGGTCATCGAATCGGAGACTTTCCCACGACAGGAAGGAGTCAGACCGTGGGAAAGGTCGCCGAATCAGACTTTCCTACGACAGGAAGGAGCCAGACCGTGGAAAACTGTGAACTAAGCCCAGAAGCTATTCACAGCTTTTCACTGAGAGAAAACTCCTGTACGTTGTGCAGTCAAGACAGCAATTCCGACACCGTAGTCTCCACACGCATCTCCCACTGAGGAATTTATACACCAGTGCTCGATGACTACTCTCATGGAGGACCGCAGTATAGTTAAACGTCCTTCCTACATCCGAAGAGTCCCCTCCTCTTTCATGCCTCCAAAGAGCCACTTGTGCCTGCGTACCCAACGTCGACGGTTGTATTTACGTTTAATAACCAGTGTTTCGTCAGTTTCCCCCTCGCACCCAAACCTTCCGATGATCGGCGGGTTCCTCCTGAAGTGCCCCACACATTCGCCGCGGAAACTGGTGTGCACATTGAGCTCGTATTCCTTGTCCTTCACCTTGCCCATGTCGCGCAGCCAGAAATAGGGCAGTGCGAACACCGTGGACTCAGGAAAGTTACAGTTCTCGAAAAAGGAATCCTTTCGGGCATGAACGTAGACCCTGGTCTCGTTCGATGGTCCAGTGCGGCACGCTCGGCCCAAATAACCCCAAATGACGAAGTTTCAGCAGATTTGGTGAAAACAGCTGTGGCGCCAAATTGGCGCCAAACGGCGCCAAATGGCGCCAGCGCTAAAAACGGGCGTGGTTTTCGCAATCAGGATCCCCAAATAACCCCAAACGACGAAGTTTCAGCAGACTTGTGTGAAAACAGCCGTGGCGCCAAATTGGCGCCAAACGGCGCCAAATGGCGCCAGCGCTAAAAACGGGTGTCGTTTTCGTAATCAGGACCCCAAATAACCCCAAATGACGAAGTTTCAGCAGATTTGGTGAAAACAGCCGTGGCGCCAAATTGGCGCCAAACGGCGCCAAATGGCGCCAAATGACACCAGCATCAAAAATGAATGTCATATTCGTAATCAGGGCATCGAATTACCCCAATAGACAAAGTTTCGACGAAAAATGAAACTTTGAGATTTTGGGGCAGTAATCGTGGGATAGTGATCCGGCAATAGGGGAAGGCTGAAAACGGTGAAAAACCAAAGTTTCAACTGGGGAAGTAATGCATATCATTCGATAGCATTTTTCACGGGAAAGCTAACGGGGCACATTTCAGGTCTGCGAGTTCATCTGAATGTCAAAAAATTCGAACATCCACAAATAGGCATACTAAAGACGACATGTCTAGAGGCCACAAGTGCCGCCCCCACACCACGGAAGGAACGCTTACTTGCGACCGAGTTTTCCACATAATTCCTACAGACAAGTGACCATAGTCTACGACAGTGAAGGAAATTCTTCGCTTCCTTTACAGCTTTCTACAAAACATTCCTCTAAAAATGGGACTTGTCACGTAATAGGGGGCAAAGGCATGACAAGGGGTGATGTTTGGGGTCACACCACGGAAGAAACGCTCACCTGCGACCAAGGTTTCCATATAATCCTTACAGACAAGTGACCGTAGTCTACGACAGTGAAGGAAATTGTTCGCTATCTTCACAGCTTTCTGCAAAACATGTCCTCTGAAAATGGAAAATGTCACATAATAGGCCCACTATGCCTGCTGAGAACTGTTCAAAGATTCCACTTGATATACAGAGGATGTGATATTGAGAGCAGAGGGAACACGTAAAGCTAGTAAGCGCTTGAAAACGAAATGAAGATCTCAGAATTCGGAAAATAACATTCATCTAATCTCACAATGTAGTGGATGAGATTGAGTACGTGGCGCATTCTGGGGTAAGTTTTGAGGCCCTTCTTTGTGTGTAGCGGTTAGCCCGCATAAGCGGATTATATACACATCACATGCGAGCAACTACTTTTTGAGATAGAACCCGTGTGCATGGCGCATTCCGAAATCAAGCTTTCTGAAAAAATAACAGCACCATCTTGTAGCGCTTGAAGAGCTGAGTTCAACGGTGTTTTCCGTTTCTGGAATACTTCACTCTGACCCGACTTATAACGAATTCACGAAATTAACGAGGATTCGCGTTATTCGCGTGAATTTTCGATTTCAAACGGCGAGTACTGTATTTGTTAATTAACAAATAAAATAAGGAAAAATCACAAAAACCTCGGCAAGGGTTGCTCACTTTCCTTCCAAGAGGAAAGACGGCTTTGTGCGAGCCACCCTAAGAACCCTCGCTGAGTTCAGAGAGGATAGTATGAGGCAAAAACGCGCAACAGGTGAGAGGTCACCACCCAACAGGCTGCTGCGGGCGGTAAATATTGCAGTTGCTCCATCTCACTTTTCAAGGCCCTAGCGCCCATGTTGGGAAACCTCCATGTACGACAGTGCAACATAAGTGATTGTCCTTCAAGAGTCTACCGTACAGACTGAAGGGAACCGTTCCCACAACTTCTGCTTTGGTTGCCTTAAACAATGTCATGCATTTTTGCAACAAGCACGTAGAAGCTACCTAAAGCCTGTACGAATCGTGTTATACACCCGAAACCAGCAGAAGACGACAGTGTGGAAAGATTAAAGTAGTCTATAGGCCCACTATTAGGAAAAGAAGGGCCTAATTGAAAGCGTTCCAGTGGTTGTTGTTCATGGTTGTTGTTCCATTTTTTCAACTTGAGAAATAATTACCAGGCACAGTCTCTAATTTCAACCTCAACATCTCGTTAACGTGTTACTGATATCTTCTGTTTCTCTTTATGTCTGCATCCCTATCTCCATTTTCGTTGAATTTGTATGGGTTATAATCATGTATTCGCCTTGCAGACGGATCAAGATCTCGAAAGTGTCATCGGGCAAACAAGCGCGTCTGGTGAATGGCTACCGATCAAAGGGGATAAAGAGAACAATTTTTGAGAAATTTCTGCATCTGTAATATTATTTTATTCTATTTTTGATTTTACGTGTAAAGATTAATTTTACGGTATGGCTTAGATTCCGGCAGCGCTACGATTGGATCCAGACGAGGTAGACAAGCGTGACACGGACTGCAACGACTATCGGGTGTTTCAAGGGCGTCAGTTCCGCGTTTCGGCAAAGGATGAAGCTGCTTTTGAGCAACTCCGACTTTTGAAATTAGCGGCAACTACCAGGCGCACAAAGCGGAGTCGTGTTGTGATCGGTAAGTCCAGCTACTAGATTCCATGGTTATTCCACAAGCTCCGAATCTGATTTTCGTTTTTATTGTTGTGCGATTTCATTCTTGTTATTGCAGATTATTCTGAGAATGAAGAGGGGAAAAATGAAGAGATGACAGAGAAATTAAAGGTAAAGCATTTTCGTGTGCTCGAACCACCTACAAAGTTTCCCATTTTTTACTGTGTGTGTTTTCAGAAGGCAGAGCAAGAACGTGCTATTGCAGCTGAAAAACGTAGAAAAGCAGCTGACGAGAAGAAGAAAGCGACATGGAATGCAAATGGTGAGAACATGAACCGCCCTCTTGTTGCAAACGGTCACGCCTCGGAATATTCGAAGCTTCTTCTTTACTTTCAGCGGCCCAACGCTTGAAATCTTTCCAACAAATCCAGGTCTCCCCTCACCTACACTTTATCCCCTCCCAAGGAAATACCCTCAATTCACAGCTACATCAGAGCACTGTGGGCGATGATGGTGATGTTGAAGTTCTATACGAATTTAGTCCGCCTTGCAAAGCAAATAACAGTTTCCATCGCTCTGTGAAGTCTCCGAAACCTGCTTTAGCCCCAGCAAACAACGTTGTAGAGCCAGAGGTGATCATTTTAGACTGATTAAGTTAAGCATAGCCTAAATCCTCAAGTGCATGCTTTTGCATGTTTTTTTGTAAATTGCTGTTCATCAAAAGTTGAGTGTTTATTGAGTTAGTCTGTTGTCTAAGTTGTGCAGTAGTTAGACGTGCACAATAGCGGTGTGGTGTGACCATGATGCCAGAGTCAACCCTGCGTTGCGCAGTTCGCAACGGCACGTTGAGAGATCCTCAACGCACGCTGTATGGGCGGAGACACAGACGG